ATAATGCATGATATTCAATGTGATCTTACCTGCTAGTTGTAATCCAAAAATTGTTGTATTTTCTAAAGCTTCACCTGGAAGATCGTTCTCGAGATATTTGTCAAGTATACACTTGTTAGTTCTAAAAGATTTACTTCGATCTTTTAGAATTTTTACCATTGTAGCTTTTTGGGCATATTCAGAATGGCTTAATTCTTTTATACCATCCTCAGTTCTTATACAGAGGTCAATTTTTCTTTTCGAATTATTTGTCACTTGTGAAACGGTCTCTCCCCTAAAAAATTTATAAATGAATCTGTTAATCTGCAATTGACAATTACTTCAAAATTAATAAAATACTTACCACATAAGCCTTACAAGGCTTTGGCAATCGGAAAATATTATTTCCAAAATAGGATCCACCATTTTTATTACATATTGTATTTCTGTGTATTTTTGTGGTTGACCATTTTTTCTTATAAATAAATATGGATTTTCTAAGAACAAATCCAGGCTGATAAATAAAGTTTAAACTTAATTAGTAAATAGCGAGACAAAAAAAAGCCAAGAAAGTAATAACATACACATAAAAATACACTTTTAAAATTTGTCTAAATTTAATATCGGTAGGTCGTTCGATTATTTTTTCTAATAATAATTTTCTTGCCCCCAAATAATCATGCGAAATACAAAACTGTGCATGGTGAAAGGTGCAAAAGAGTTAGTACTACTCATAATATGATAGCTTTCAAAAGGGTAGTACAGTCTATATACATTTTCAACTTTAGTAATAAGCTCTAATATTTCACCAGAAAACTCTTCAACTGTTAAGTTAATTTTTGATAGCGCTTTGACCTTTAATGGGATCCAATCATCGTTAAACCAAGAGTGCATGCCCTGCTTAAACTCTGATGAAAGATCTATGATAGATGATAGTCCCAACCTGTACATACGTTTATAAAATGGTTTGTAAATTACAAAAAAAAACCATTAAATAATTGTTACTATGTTTTACCATATAATGCTCATTATTATTGAATCTACTTTTTCGGATTGTTTAATTTCTTCAATCGTTCTTTTTGTCATATTTATAAGCCGACCTCTTACACTTTCATTATTTTTTAATTTCCAATTATAATTTTTGTTGTCTGTATTTGAACCAACAAAAGAATTAAATGATATGTCTGCAAGTTCAACTATATCTTCTTCATCAGGTGAAGCTTTAGAAAATACAACAATTTTTGGATTACAACTAGCAGGTAAGATCACATTGAATATCATGCATTAT